AGTTTATAGAAGTGAATTCACTATTGCAACTGACACACCAAATGTGAATATACAATGATAGAGGATTAATTGTAAACACATTTACATGTTGTTCAAACTGAGCATGAGTGAATATAATATTAGAGAAAAGAAAACATGACCAGTATGACTAAATAGGTGGTAGAAATTACGAATGATCAGTTCTAATAAATCAAGGGAGACTCCAAACAGTGAATGCAATTTTAGTTCTATGAATAATAGAAAAGTATAAATCAATCACTTAGTGTGTGGTAGAAAATTTTTTCTAGATCAAGGATGCCCCTAGACTGGGCAAAAATTGATAATGAAACATATATAGGAAGAAGTTTAGAAGGAATTAGACTTTTGAACTTATTGGAAATGGAACTTAGGTAGAGCTGAATTTTCAGTTACAGTGACACTGTTAAGACATTTTATTCCATTTACCTTCCTGAAAAGTCCCTGAACAATTAAGAATGGAAAGGCACAATAAAATAGAATGAATATTAAGACCTTAGTGATTTCTATCTTTAATAAATTCAAACAAATGGCCGTAATTTCAAAACACAACTTTGAAGAATAAAAAAAAAAACCTTTTGTTCTATACCAAAGTTAAAAACGGATGCTGAGACGGCACTCACCACAACCATCCCCCTGCACCACCAGACCTGAATAGGAAAAACTTCCCCTTAGAAGTACGTAACACAGTCTAGAAACACCCCGTAAGATTTTGTAATGAGGACCATCTGCAAGCTAATGCAATCAGATGTCAATCCCTTCCCGTACTACCCATTGGAGGTCAGCTGAAAAAGAAATCCCGTACTAGAAGTCAATTGGGTTGTCAAAGTCCAGGTCAGTCCTTCAGGGCTGATGGCTAAATGATGCAGCAGGGTGAAGTAAAAAAAAAAGGCAAAGAGCAGTAGTAAGGGATTTATTATAAGTCCCATGAAACTATCTGAGCTATGAACTAATGGTAGAACTCCCAGGATAACAGAAAAGTTTGATTTGATGAGCACAGGTTCAACATTTACAAACTTTAATCAAAGCTGAAGAGTGCCTCAGCTCTCTCCTCTAATTTCTCCCTAATCTATTTTTTTTTGACAAATAACTTCTCCATGTAAAGATAAGTGACAGCAAAGGAAAACTAGTGCACAACATAAGGAAAAAACTCATTGATTCATTGAAAAGAGAAAACATTAAGTGCATTACTGATCAGCAGATCAGTACCGTATTAGGTGGTTTGGCTACATCAGTAAATAATACAGACACCTGCTCTCGTGGAATTTCATTCTAGTAAAGAAGACAGACAATACACAATCAACATGAAAAAACTAATTAAATTTTACATTATGTTAAAAAGTGATAATTGTATAAAAATTTTAAAAATAAAGCAGGTAGGGGGATCAGGATTGCTGGAGCAGAGGGCAAGTCACAAATTAAATAGGGCAGCCAGAGAGGACGTATTAAGAAGGTGAGACCTGAGTAGAGACTGGGTGGAGACACAGACACTAAGGAACTGGATAAACAGTAGAAGAGCATTTTAGACAGAGGAAAAGGCACTGAGGTACATGCTGCTGAAACATTAAATAATCACTAGAGCAGGAAATCAAGGTACAGATGGGTAGGAGTTGAGATCAGAAAGTTAATGGGAATGGGATTCGGCGAGAAGGTGATTCCTAAGAAAATGCTAGCCCTTATAAGTCATTGTGAGAAATTTGGCTTTTAATCTGATGGAATTGGGAATATATTGTAGGATTCTGAACAAAGAATAACAAGATCTAAGGTTCTAAAAGGAAAACCCTGTTTTCTATGTTGAGACTAGACTGTTAAGGAGCAAAGATAAATGCAGTAAAATCTGTTAGAAGCTACTTCAGTAATCCAGGTACAAAATAATAGGTAATGGTGGCTTAGGCAAGGGTGATGGTAGTTCAGATAGTGAACAGTGGTTGAGTTCTGGATATAGGTTGAAAGGGCCAAGAGAGGTTGTGACATATTGAAAGTAAGTTGTGAAGTAAAGGAATAAAGGATGACTCCAAGGCTTCCAGCAGAGAATATGGAAGAACAGAGCTGTCATTAATTATGACAGAAAAGACTGATGCTGTTTAGCAAAAAATAAATGGAGAAGATCAGGAGTTCGGTTTTGGAAGTGCTGAATTTGAAGCATTTACCTCCCTAATAAGGTATCCAGGTGAGGATGTCAAATAGCCCATAGAATGTATTAGTCTGGAGTTCAGGAAAGAGGTCTGAGCTGAGATATAAATTCAGTTGATGTCATCTTTCAGTTGGCACTTAAAGCCAGGATGAACTCAGAGAATGATGAGCTCACCAGAAACAGAGTGAGACTAGAAGCAAGAGAATAACCAAGACCTGAGACTGCGGCATGTCAACATTAAGAAGTGTAGAAGTACAGGGGAAAAATACAGCAAAGTACACTGCAAAGTTGTGGCCAATTAGAAAAAAATCAGATGAAGAGGATGAGTAGGTCTGGGATCTGATCAATGAATTTAGCAATGTGGATGCCTTTGATAACCTTGAAATAAATATTTTTGTGAAGAGGATGTGGGTAATGAAAACATGATTGGTGCAGTTTAAGAAAGATTGGAAAGAGAACTGAAAGTGATTCCAGGCAAATCTTGCAAGGAGTTTGCTGTAAAGAGTGAACACAAATGGAATGTGAAGGAAGCAGAGTCCAAAAAAGTGTTGAGTTGTTTTTTTTTTTAATCTGAGAGATAATAACACTATTTGTATGGTGGTAGAAATAAAAATGATTATAGAGAAGAAAAAGGAAAAACTGCTTCTTCATGTCCTTGAATAGCTAAGAGGGCCTGGAGTCTAAAATAAATGAAGAGAGATTTAGACTAGAGTGTATCCTTTGTTGAAGAATCAAAAATATCTCATTTTATTGAATTTTATTAAATTCAAGTAAAGTTAGCCTGAATAGCAATATTTTTAAATGCCATATCCTATATTGTCTTTCTATTTTTGTCAAACTTTTCACTAACAGAGAGAGAAAGAGAAGACTTACCTGACATGCTTTTTACCAAAGATCATTATGATAATAATGATCTTTGAGCATTAATATGACATAATTTGGGATTTTTTTTTTTGAGACAGAGTCTCACTCTGTTGCCCAGACTAGAATGCAGATTTAAGCTCATTGCAACCTCCACTTCTAGGGTTCAAGCAATTCTCGTGCCTCAGCCTCCTGAGTAGCTGGGATTACAGTCATCTATCACCATGCCCAGCTAATTTTTGTATTTTTTTATAGAAATGGGGTTTCACCATGTTGGCCAGGCTTGTCTTAAATGCCTGGCCTCAAGCAATCCACTCACCTTGGCCTCCCAAAGTGATGAGATTACAAGCATGAGCCACCACACCTGGCCTGATTTGGTATTTTTTTACTATCTTCTTTTTAAGTTGTTAATTTTAGTAGAGAGAATATCTTCATTTTATTAAAAATGACACATTTTTTAAAAATTAAGGCAAGCACCTTGTTCCATATAACCTTAAAAAGTAGGGTAATAGGAAGCTACCATAGGCTTCTAAAGACAAGTGATGCTGAGTAATTAAAACTATTCAGTTTTATAACCCTATTATAATGGAAAAGTGTTTCTTTCAAACCTAGTGTTTAAAAGAATGTTGAGAAACTGGCATTTTTATATACTGCTAGTGAAAACATTAGCAAAATTTTCCTTTTCAAAAAATTTGAAGTACTGCATTATCTTGTTTTTCTGTATAATCTTTTTTCTTCCTTCCTTCCCTCCCTTCCTTCCTTCCTTCCTTCCTTCCTTCCTTCCTTCTTTCCTTTCTTCTTTCTTTCTTTCTTTGTTTCTCAATAGTTATATATCTAGGAGATTCATTAAAAATACTCCAAGATTTCGACAGAAGTTATTATCTAGGAATGGTGAAAACATTTATAAATAAACACACACACACACACACACACACGCACGCACATTACACTTTTTCCAATTTGTAGATTCAGTATCGTACATTAACATGAAACATCACATTCTTCGATCCTAAGATACATGTATTTTCACATTCATGAAATCAACATAAGTCACAAAATTATTATTATCTTAGATTCAGAGAAATGTGATACTTTTGTAACTGAAACAACGATTAAGGAGGCATCACACAGGATAGCTAGTCTACATAGCTTAGAACTGAAAGGTGTTTCAAAGATCAGTAAGGAGAAGATAATGATTTGATTGTAGGTGAGGTTGCTTTGTGTAGGCTCAATAAAATTCAGTCATTAAAGACATGTTCAATGGGAATGAAGTTATTTACCATAATATGCAATATGAGAAGACTGAGAGTTTTAGATGGAAAAGAAAACTTTGTAGCATTTCATTTGGATTAGAGTGAGACATTACGAGATGTTTTAGTCAGAATAAAATTGAGAAGACACTGGGAAAGTGGTCTCATAACCACACTGTCTTTCAGAGTACAGCCTATTTATAAAATTACTCTTGAAATGCCACCACCAAATTTTGAACTTCTTTCTTGCCGTTGCATAGATTAATATATTTTACTTTAAAAATTGATCAATCTAATTTCTACAATTCTCACATAAATATAAAATAACCTTACATTGAATTATAGGTGACCTTACTTCTCTTCCTGCTTAATCTTTGCTATTTGCAATTCTATTCAAAACCATCTCCCCAAGCCATAATACGCCTTGGATTTGCTCTCTTCCCTTGATTATGCCACATGTAGAATTATTTCAATAATATATTTTCCTTGCCCTTAGAACAGATTATTAAGGACGTAGTCACAAGAAGTGAGAGACAGGAAATGATCATTTTTTCCCAGAATGCTGAGTTAGCCTTTTACTGGACTTTAAAATAATGACTAAACAGTGGCAAGGTTTAGATCGTTTTTCATTTGTATCACAATCTCTCCTACAAAGGGGATTCTAGCATTTAAAACACTGCATATTCTTATTTTCAGTTTCATTTACCAAAAGAATAAATGAATTTTTTGAATTGCCTTACCCAGTAAGTTTGACTGCATGTGTCTGAAGCTTTCGGTATTTTTCTGACTCTTTGTTTGTGCTGGTAACATGCCTGTATATCCCTGTCTTATAATGGAAGAAATCCTCACGGACTTGCATTATGGCTAAAATAAAATCCAACAGAACAAATGGCACAGTATTAAAATACCGTCTTTAAAAACCACCAGAAAATTTCATGGAACAACCAATGGGTAAATTGCAAGGAGCTGAATCTAAGAAGAGGCTGTGCAATTCAACCTAATTTTCTTTCCTACTTAATTTAATTAGTTGCAGTATTTTTTGTCATCCTATAAAAACAACTTTTAGCTCTTTAGAATATTAAGTACACATTATGCTTTTAAAACACCATCTAATCTTAATCAACAGATACACTACTACCAAAAAGTAAGCCCTTGCAACAAAAGTACACTATACCTGCTCAGTGATTACTATTTCTCCGTTAACCTTGTGCTTTACCACAAGCCTCTTAAAACCCCAATTAGGCTAGCAAAGCCTAGCAAACTGGGCTTAAAGCAATTGTCGTTAATCCTCATAAGTAAATACAAACATTTCTTTTGTGAGTTGGAATAAAAAAGCAAACTCCTGCCAAAATAAAACTTTGACAGATTTCATCCTCCCAGCTCTGGAGAGATAAGCAATGTTATACGCTTTAAAAAGTAGAGCTCATACTTTAGAAAGCTCTCCTTCATTCCCTCACCTAGATTATTTCATCTCTCTATTGTGTGCTGCTTTGTTGAAGGGCTTTGGCAATTCGGGGTGAAGACTTTAAACTTCCCTTGTAGAAGATATGAATTTAAAAAGTTTTAATTGAGATTACATATGTATAGCTTGACAACTGTGTACAATACTTGTCTTAATTTGACAAGCATTTTAAATAAAACAGGAAGTAAGGTAACTAGTGTTTGACAGATCCTTTTAAAAAGCTTATACTCCAAAGTTAAATATAACTTTTCAATGTTCCTGCTTTTGTTTCATTTTTTAATGTTCCATGCCTTTTCTGATGCTGTACAAATAGTCGCAAAAGAGGTTAAAACTTCTTTATCTACTCTAAAACACATTCCTATAGGGTTTTAAGAATTAATGTAACTGTACTCTATGGAGATCTCTGCTTTTGTTCTCTATCCATCACCTATACTTACTTTTAATCCTACAGATTTTAGAAGAATGTACACAAAGTTATTCACTCAGGGTTCTGTTGGCTTTTATGCTCTTTCGTACTGAGACAGGGGAAATGCTGTATGCCAGACCAGGCAATAACAAGCAGGCAATCATGTAACATTTATAGCAAGAAGAGTCAACCAGCATTCTATCCCTTTATAAAAATGTGAAGATATTGCTACTAGCTTTTCTTTTCTGTAGAACCATTGACTCTTCTAGGTCTTATGATTCAACTTTCCTCTAAGCATCATGAATAAAATATACTCATTATTCCTGAAAAACACTGCCAACTAAAGAAAAAGGATGAGAAGCCATCCTAATTACCTGAAAGGTGGCTTCTTTCTGAAGTTTCTGATACCAAACAGGCTTGATAAATTCATGAATATATAACTATGTAAGTTATGATCATGCAATTTTACTTTTGGAAAACTACAGCAAACTCATGATACAGAATTATAACACGGATGAGAGGCTTGGTTGTTGCTCATCTCTTGCTCCTGGCTTAGGCTGGCGGGAAGCAGGTTCTCAAGAAACCTTTGTTAAATGAATGTTGAATAACTTGCATTTTTGTTTTATTGCTTTGAAATGTTACGCCTTTATTTTTGATTCATTCTGTGAAAATTATGAGCATTTCAGTAATAGCCATAAAATAAACCTAAAGTATTTAAATTTTCTCAATTTTAAATAATTACAATTCAAAATTGTTTGACTGATTAAAAAAAGAGGGAGAGAGAGAGGGGAAAAAGGAAAAAAAACACTTGAAACAATAATACAATGACTTGAAGATTCTGAAAGGTTAAGTAAATTGCCCAAAGTTATTTAAATAGCAAATACCAAATTTGGAGTATTTTAGCGTAACCTTGACTCTAAATGCCTGTGATCTTTTAAATTTGTCACACAAGCACCACTTAATGGAGCATGCATTGACATTAGAGATTAATCCCCTCACTCTTCAAATGACCAACAAATTACACAGCTGTAAGGGGGAACAGAAAATTTCTCTTCATTTGTTTCAGGTTTTGGGTAATGTCCCATAATTTTTAAAAATTAAATTTAGGACATGTTTATGTAGGCTGTGGTTTCTCAATAAATGCTAAGTGGTAATAATGATCAATAAAAATTCATCCAACAAAATTATAAAATCCATGATTCCTGCCTATATATATTTAACCAATACTAACTAGATCAGTGTTCAGAAAAATTAAAATTGGCAACGGTTCCTTAAGTATGTATCAAATGTTTTACATTTAATTTTGGCCTATTTTTTATTCCACTGCATTGATAATATATTCCAGGCCCTTCAGTATTCACAACCTAAATTTTCATTTTAGGCTTCGTTGGATTGATTCTTCCATGCACTTCAAGCCAATGTTTACACAGGGAATACACTCTGTGAATTTACCCTTATTCAGGCCATTGATGCAAAATAAAATTCAACAGGCAAGCAGAATAAATTATTACAAGAGATGAGATAAATCAAAGGCAATGTACAAGTAACTATATGATTTCATTATTTACTGTTACTCTAAGTAAAACATTTACAAAATTGATCAAAATTGAAAACCTTTTGTAAAATGCAAAATTACACTGGTTTACTTTATTTATTTTGAGTTAATAGAAGGAAAATATTAATCCTCAATTTTTTCAATCCACGACCTAATACACTTAAACTGAAGATAAGAAAACTGTATGTATGATTCTTAAATATAACTGAATAAATAAAGTAAGCTTCATTACAAATTAGTCAGTTGGCATTTCATGTTGGACTTTCTGTTGGTCCATGATCATTTTGGAAAAACTTCGGAGTCATTCATCAAATACGTCATTAATATTTAAGAGTTCAATTTATAAATGAGTCTATCTTCTGAAAATAAAATGGCAGCTAATTAAGATATAGGTAAGCATACTTCTCATAACTGCACTCATTTTAGAACTGTTGAAGCCTTTTGGATACTCTTTAAGTAAAAGTTTTCTTTCTTTTATTAAACTCCTATTACATGAGCTCAATGTAATGTTGTTTATTAAAGGAATGAATAAGAATAAAACGTATTTCATCCAAGCTCACCTTGAACTGGTCCGTTTTGCATGATTTCTTTCATTATCTCAGTTTCCTGGATGGAAAAACATGAATGAGCAATATCATTGTTATCAGAGCATACTAAACCTACTGACTGGTGTACAATGTTAAGTGTTTGCAATTTACTCTCAATCGTACTTTGGCAAACTCACGTATATTACACTACATTAATGAAATTGTTAAAGATGAGATGCACCCATTTGTTTTAATGACACTTATCACTAAACAGTAAATTTGGAGCGGAGGGAAAATACAATAGCCTTTCATGATTATAAAGAAAAAAATAAACAAGGTAAGTTAAAACAGTATTTAATTAGTGGAGATTAATAGTACCTCTAATTTTTTTCTCACAAGAGCTATCCCAAATGATTGTTTAGTTAGATGTCTCAGTAACCTTAGTACAAATATTTCTATGATGTCTCCTAATGTATAATGCAGCCCTCTGTAGGGAGGCAGGGCACTATTTCATCCATTTTTCTGTGCCTTTGAGCACAAAGTACATGCCAGAAACTATGACAGGAACAAATATTGACCCTGAACCTATACTCAAGTTACTTACATTTTGGTTGAATGACACTACTAATTTCATTATTATATAATAAGATCCATTGTAGAGACAAGCACAAAGTGTTATTGTTGCAAACATAAAAGGGAAATTAATTCTGCACGGAAATCAAGGAAAATTTCACAGATATGAAGTTTTTACCTGACATTTGTTTGGCATTCTAGATGGAAAGACTTGATAACCATTTGCATCAGAGGAATTATTACCTAGCTAAGTGGAAAAGTATAACAGAGCACGGTGTACCTGGGCAACAGAGACTAGTTTTATATATTAGGAGCATTATGGCTGGGTAGAGTGGCAGATGCTGGCAGGACACGAGTGTATAAAAGTAGTACGTCAAAACTAACTCATGAAAGGCCAGTGTGCTATGGTTAGAACACTGAAATGTACTCTGGAGATAATTAGGAGGACTGGAGATTCACAGATTCTGAAAACGAGCAGGCTTGGGGAACACTGATATGATGAAGTAAATTTGCCTAGGCTTTTAACAGACAAACTAGAATCCAAGGGAGTCTTTTTTATATCAGACCCATGTCCTCTTAAATTATTTTGTTGAGTGAGGCAAAGGATTGATAAAACGAGCTAATAACACAAAAAAGTCAGTAAAGCAGTGTTTAACTTAGCTTTTAATTGTCAAGTTCAAATATATTTATATACAGATATTATGAAACATAATTTTAAAACCCTATTTCCTTAGACTTTTTTTAACTTCAGCCAATTCTTTACACTGCTAATATTACAAAGATAAGACATCATACCCAAATCGAAAGTCCTTAAAAGTATTAAAAATTATACTTGAAAATATAACATTTATTTTAGAATATGATAGTTTTAAGTAGTTTTTAAATTGTTTTAGCTACAGCAGAGCTATATACGTTTCAGAAAGTCAACTATTCTTGATTCTTGACATTTATACTTACACTGGAAGAGACTCTGTATGGAGGAGAACATTGGTAGATCCTGTTAGATTTTTCTATGTTGTTGGGACATGGCTTTGTGGCATGCCGTTTTCCTCGCCCATCAGACCTGCTTGCCATGGCACATCCATTGTTGGCATTTTGGTCTTTGAAAAGTGGATAGCATGCATGGGATACCAGTCTATGAGGAATAAGCAAAGAAGCAAAGGTAATATTTAGGAGAATGTTATCATATCCTGTTTATATTTAATCTTACTGAATTAAACATTCATAAATTATTCTGGTTACTTACATGCATAATTTTCAAAATACTGACTGGCTCCAACACAGAAGCTCAGTGACATTATACTCTTCCCTACCCTCCTATTTCTTCATTATAATTTTAAAAATCTTGTTTGATCAATTTTTAATAAATAATTCTATCTGTAGTATAGAATTTCCTGAAGATAAAAAGTGGTTGTCAATATTAAGTATGTGGTAATATTAATAGGGAAAGGACCCCATTCAAACTGTATATATAATTATAATCTGGAAGAGCCAAATTTAATATAAACAAGACATTGAATCTGACTACTCCCAGATGGAATATTAAAATTACGTAAGCTGTAGCTTTAAAGTTTTTATTTTGTTTTGTTTTTGTATTTTTATAATTTTATTAAGTTATAGATATGTTCACATAATACAAACTATTATATATCTGTAGCTTGTGGTACTTTGGGGGAAAATAGTATAATATTAATATAATTTTAAAAGTTAATAAAGTAGAAAACTACCACACATGTATTATCTAAAAGAGAAAATGATTTTGATTTCTGATTTTGAAACTAAACATAGCAAAGCACAAATTATTTGGCACCAATTCAAACATGATAATATTGAATAAAAAGGTAAATTGTAAGGGAAATAAAATCATGGTAATGGCATTGTAGATACTCTATGCTGAAATGACCATAGAAGTATCCACTAGGATTGATTCATGAAAATGTAATAGTTTCCAACACAATATGAGAATCTGAGGAAAGAACATGACAAAAGCAAAACCATTGAAAACACTCAAACAACCTAAAAAATATTGTATTAAATGCATTACATTTGTATTAAATGATGAGTGCTGTGGACTGAATGGTGTCACATTAAAATTCATATGTTGAAGCACTTATACCCAATGTAATGATATTTGGAGGTAGGCCTTCGGGAGATAATTAACTTTAAAGGATGTTATGAGGGTAGGGCCATCATAGATGTGATTAGTGACCTTATAAGAAAAGGAAGAAACCAGAGCTCTCTTTCATCATGTGAGGACACTGTGAGAAGGTGTCCATCTGAAAGCCAGAAAGAGAGCCCTCACCAAGAACCAGATCAGCCTGGTCCTGGATTTTGCAGCCTCCAAAACATCAGTGTTTGCTGTTGAAGCCCCTCAGTCTACGGCATTTTGTTACAGCACCCCAAGCAGTCCAATACAATGAGATTTAGTTGGGTCTCAACGATAATTTACATTTTCAAGCTATTAAAGGGCTGTTATTTTTTTATTATAATACAGCACTAGTACACAAGGAAAGTATCAGCCCAAGTTGGCTATTCAAAGTACCACATTTTAGGCAAAACATATGAAAAAATTTAAAGCAATTTATTGCAACCCATCAAAATCTGACATCCACTATTTTCTATAGCATCTAACTGGTCCTATAGCAGACCCAGAGCACTGAGTGGATGATGAAGAGCAGGTGAGCGGTACATATAGACACCACTGTTTATCAGCTGCAGCTTCCTTAGCTGAATAACTCAGCTTTTTAGTAGATCAGCTCTTACAGCGGACACAAGGATGTTATATGGGTATCAGCCTACCTGAAAGTGAGGAAATGCAGCCTCCCATTTTTCATCAAATGGGGTGGAGACAATGAACCATACTGATGAGTTAAAACAACTGTAGATTATTTCCTTATATTATTATTCTTATTTTTAGCCTAATTTTACCTGATATTATCTATTCCTCAATCTGGTAACTGAAAAGCACAGCAGAGAGATCAGCAACCGTGATTACTTTATTCTGTCTGTGGGGACTCACTTGGCTCAGAGCAACAAGAAAAAAATATTTACTTGAGTCTTCAAAACTAAAATTCATATTAATTTAGCTAGAAACGTATACATTCCTCAAGTGTTTCTAATAGCTTCTAATCTCAATACATAACAAGTATAGTATATATTTAAATGTAGCATAATATTTATATTCATGTAGCTGTAGTATATATATTTTTAAGTACTTTTTTGTAAAAATCTTGGGATTAATTATTTTCCTTGTTCTAACACAATGAACCACTCATAAAAATCCTAGAAACACATGTTGAGCAGCTATTTACCCACGTTTTCTCAGGTACCACCAAGCCCTATCGATGCTTCCACTATTGCACCCATGACGGTTCTTGGCACAGCAAGAGATCAAATTCTGAGGGGATAGATTGGCCGTGTATCGACCCTTAGACTGAATTGCTATTCGGTCAGCAGCCACACCTGTTTCAAATAGAATATCAATTAATATTCAAATGGTACACAGTATTTCTAATAAGATACATAACCTTTTTGTCTGAACCCTAACGTAGTCTTTAAAACTGTGTGTAATTTATAATTAAAGCCAAAGAGCATTAATATATTTATGTATTCTAGCCAGTTGAACTGTGTCATACTTTCAGTCATAATTTTTGTCCTATTTTGATATTACTCAATTGTCCTATTGACTTCAAAGATTTTTCCAGTTTCTTGTTCCTTTGATGTTCTATATATTCCTGAACACTCCTCATTAGGGAATCTGTCAAGTGAAACTCTTGGAGGGCAAGAGCCATATGTTCCTTATATTTCTATTTCCTGTACCTAAAACAGTATCTTGCATATAGTCATGGGAAAATACATATTTTCTAAATGAATTTAACTAAACTGGGGCAATTGAGAAAACTAACCATAGAAATATTCGTTGGAAATTCATCCACAGTCATCTAATATATTGGAGTAAAACTGAATCCTTTGTTTTTAAACTGGTATCTAGTTTAACTACCCAGGAGGCCATACTTAAGCTAATCCAGACTAACATGAATCAATCTTATACAGTATCTAAAGGCTACATAGCACACTTTTGTGTTCATAATATAAATGAAAATTATTATCTTAATCTTGTTTTAGCAGATATGGAATTCAGCTTGATTATACATATATATAAAATGAAATGAATATATTTATTCAGTTACAATTACTAACTGTTGTAACTACTATTAACTAATACCATTAGTTACATATAATGGTATTAGTTCATTATATATAGCTATATATGTAATTATGTATATACAATCTAATAGCTATATATGTAACTGATGATATGTAATGCTATATACAACTAATAATATAGTTATGACTACCATATTATTAACTAATATCATTAGTTATATATATATACACACACACACACACACTTTTTATTATTAAAACTTCTATTCATTTGTTATATGATTCCCTAGAATTGTAATTGTTATTGGTTCATTCCTTTCCTCAACACATTTATTAAACACCTACTAACTGACAGGCACTGTAGCACTGGAAATTACAATGATGAACAAGAAACAAGGGAGACATAGTTCTGCCCTCTTAGAATAACAGACCAGGGAAACTAATCAACCAGTAGCAAAATCCTACAGATGCCATCATTTTGATCATGGTACCAAAATAAACTAATGTGAGTGATCAGATTATGAAAAAATTGGGGGGGTACCATTTTAGTACAGACTTTTTCGTTGAAAATCTGGTACAGTATTGTTGAATATCTGGTACAGTCTTGTTCAGTCTTGTTCTAAGTGAGTTTCTTACTTTTAATTAAAGGCAACAAAATAATAACCTTTCTTCTATTCATTCACTTTTCTTAGTGAAAGTTTTAGCTTTTTTTCTCATCAAAATTGTCAGTGTCCTGAAATCCCTCAAGGTGCTAATTAAAAATTTTTCTAAAATAATTCATTTAATTCATTTACATATCTATCTTTGTGTACACATGGTTTTAATGTAACTACGGCATATTACAATGCTGTAGGGCAATTGCTGGCATTCTTTAGATGCTCAATATGTGTTAAATCTATAACCTCCAACTCCCTACTAAATTCCAATCTACTATTGTAAATAGTAGGATATATTTCATAGGAGCAAATGGCATTATACGACTTCTGATAGTCTCAAGAAAATAATTCCCTATTTCATTAAAGAAAGGAGAAATTCTTTGATGCTTTGACATTCAGCACAGGGGTTTAGAATGAAATTGAAATTTTTAAAAATGGTATAACTGTGTTTTCATTCAGAAAATACTTTTATAGTGTAGAGAAAACAGTAATCCAGAAGTTAGAAGCCTGGTCTCCAGGATTATTTCTGATATTTCTCATCTTTTGGCTTCAGATAAGCCACTTTACCTATTTGGGCCTCCATTATAATACTAGAGGCTTGAAAAAGGTGACCTTTAAAATCTCTTCCAGCCTCACGAATCTGTAGATTTCAAATAAAAGTGTTTTAAATCATCATGTTATTCAATATGTTGCTCTTATACCGACATTTCTGAATCTCAATGATGGTTTAGCCAAAATTCACTTGAAATATTTAGAAAAGGTCAGAAGATTTAAGAATGACTCAGTTCAACCAATTGTTTTCCACTCTCTTCTTAAAAACTCTCACTGGACGGTACCTCTGAGACACACTCTATTCTTTCCCTTGCTTATTTTATTCCATCTTCAAATGTATGTGGAACATATCACTCCCACTACTCCAAACACCTGTATCTCTTCAGCTTCTGAAAAATAGCTTGAATTTGATTGGATTACACAACTTTTAAAAATATATGTGCCTATTTTTAAGAGTCTTATTTATTCCACTTTATAGCTTTTAGTTTCTCTGAGAGATAATCTTTTTTAGTAACTAATACTTCTCTACACAATTTCTTAGATCTTTACAATAATTTAGTTCATTTTTTTCTTTATTTAACACAAAAAAAATTGCCCTAATTTATCATACTGAATTCACAGGATACAAAACTATGTCCTTTGGAATCACAAAAGGAAACCTGTCTCTGGTGTTCCGTGTATTAGGTAGGGGAACAATCCTGACTTGGCGCAGTGCAGAGGCTATCTGTGGGGTTGAGACCTGGGAGCACCAAAATATATCCTCCACTCTAGCGAGTTGCTTTCAGTATTTCACCATGAATGTTTTTCCTTACACATCTTCAGAAATACTGGCATAATGGAAATTTTAAGCAAAATTCTTATAGATCACCCACTAGGTGTAACACATTAACCACATGAACACAAAATGGCAAACGGTTTATTACATTAAACCTTTCTCCACCCATTTGAAAGAACCTTAATCTTCTTTTTATTATCTGGCCTTAGCTATCAATAGACAAAGAAATTTTAGCTCAGAAAGGTCTCCATGTGGGTCCCTGACACATCAAGTACAGCATAAGATAGCCAGAGAGGGAGTGTGGACAGCAATGAATTAACAAATGTAGCCACTTAGGGTGAGCTTGGCTACCATTATGATTCTAACAAAGGCATTTCTGGAGTTATCTGATTGATATCCTGGAGCAATGATACTTAGACACAGGCGTCAGCATTTCTCTGTCCCAGGTTATGCTGCCTTTCATAGCTGGCTTCTCGAAGAGCCTATGTACTTGTTCACAATCCTTCAATGGCTTTAAACTGTGTTTGAACACTGTTGAAATTACCTGCAAACCCTAGAGCATGGTTTTGTGAAGATAATTGAATGACAGCCAATCATCATCATGTTAGGTTTCATTTAATTGCTAAAATACATTCAACATTCCTTTGAGGATAATTTTGGAGACCTAATTTGAGGGTTAGCCTGTAACTAATTTATTGGATTTGTGAATTTATATGAAAGTAACTATAAAAGAGTCATTGCTTATACTTTTTGAGTAACAGTAGACTTAATTTGGAAGCTATTCTTATTAAAAGATCAGTTACATTACTTTTGAGCCAGAACCTATGTATTTGCTTATATTTATTTAAAATGAAATAAAATCCATTTGATCCATTATTATTTAGGTTTAAAGTCTTACTTTACATCGAATTAGATTAATAAATGTTTTTGCAAATCGTATAAAGAGTAAAGAATATGAGGATTATGTGGGTGTGTCTACATGTATATTAGAATTATAAATAATATATGA